TTACGGTCAATGGAGATCAATACCGTACCCAGGCGCGGATGCAGCTTTTTTTGATGTTTGAGATACCTAACTTCCAGACATGGAGCAAACTCTAAAAATTTATATGTTTATACTTATATTAAATACAGATGTTTTGCAAAAAATTGTATTGATAGGAGTCTGGGAACAAAAAAATCCTGAAATTTTAGCTACACCTGCCCCAAACGTGAGAGCAACAAGTTAATAAAATAGTTTTTATGCTATTCTCAACTAATTCAATATTCATCGACAAATTTTAAAATTCACACAAAAATCTTTTAGCCTTTAAAAACTATGACCATAAAAAGTTTGACCCCCCCCCCTCAATTTGAGGGGGTTGCAAATTTTATAAGGCATTAACTGTTAAACGCTGAGAAATTATTGTGCGAGTTTTAAAATTTATCGATTAATATATACTTGGTTAAGAATAGGAGAAAAAAAAATTTATGAACCTGTTGCTCTAACGTTGAGGGCAGGTGTAGCTAAAACTTTTAGGCTTTTTTGTTCCCAGACTCCAATCGTTGCAATTTTTTGCAAAGCATCCTTATTTGATATGAGTATAAACATAAATTTTTTGAGTTTGTTCCATGTTTGGAAGTTAGGTATCTCAAACATGAAAAAATGCAGCATCCGCACCTGGCACCATAATCAATAATTTTTTGTTTGAGATATATAGATGACATAGATACAAACGAGATACGGTTTCAACAGGACGGATCTACCTGCCATACAGCAACCACAACCATTGACTGATTGAAATCAAAATTTGGAGATAAGTTAATTTCAAAAAATGGACCTGTCAATTGGCCTCCAAGGTTGTGCGATTTGATACCTCTGGATTATTTCCTGTGGGACTATGTAAAGTCGCTGGTTTATACTGATAAACCAGTAATAATTGATGCCTTGGAGGCCAGCAATGTTTGTGTTATTCGTGACATGAGACCAGAAGTTCTTGAGAAAGTGATCCAAAATAGGACATAAAGAATGGGTTTCGTCAAGAACAGCCGCAGTTAGCATGCCTGGAATTATTTTTAAGTGTTAATGTCATTGATTTTTTAAATAAATTGATCTTTCAAATAAATAAAAAAATTTAATTACAATTTTATTTTTTCTGTTACTTTTTACAATTTGAAGTTCTCTCGAACTTAATAAACACCCTTTATATATATATATATATTATATATATATATATATATATATATATATATATATATATATATATATATATATATATATATATATATATATATATATATATATATATATATATATATATATATATATATATATATATATATATATATATATATATATATATATATATATATATATATATATATATATATATATATATATATATATATATATATATATATAAGTTCACTCCATTAGAAATACAACTTTGGAAACAATGGACCCTTGTTCCGATTTTGCATCAAAGGTAGTGTATATTATTTGAGAAATAATTTCAATTAAAAACATGCTATTAGATTATAAAGATAAATCATAGTTATTTTAATAAATTATTTCATCATTGTTAAAACTATCTAATTTATTTGTTAATAACAATGATCCTGCTAATAAATATTTTTTCTAATAAATTGTTGTTTATTAATTATCTAAATTAAAGTTGGATCCAGCAATGTTTGTGTTATTCGTGACATGAGACCAGAAGTTCTTGAGAAAGTGATCCAAAATAGGACATAAAGAATGGGTTTCGTCAAGAACAGCCGCAGTTAGCATGCCTGGAATTATTTTTAAGTGTTAATGTCATTGATTTTTTAAATAAATTGATCTTTCAAATAAATAAAAAAATTTAATTACAATTTTATTTTTTCTGTTACTTTTTACAATTTGAAGTTCTCTCGAACTTAATAAACACCCTTTATATATATATATATATATATATATATATATATATATATATATATATATATATATATATATATATATATATATATATATATATATATATATATATATATATATATATATATATATATATATATATATATATATATATATATATATATATATATATATATATATATATATATATATATATATATATATATATATATATATATATATATATATATATATATATATATATATATATAAGTTCACTCCATTAGAAATACAACTTTGGAAACAATGGACCCTTGTTCCGATTTTGCATCAAAGGTAGTGTATATTATTTGAGAAATAATTTCAATTAAAAACATGCTATTAGATTATAAAGATAAATCATAGTTATTTTAATAAATTATTTCATCATTGTTAAAACTATCTAATTTATTTGTTAATAACAATGATCCTGCTAATAAATATTTTTTCTAATAAATTGTTGTTTATTAATTATCTAAATTAAAGTTGGATCCAGCAATGTTTGTGTTATTCGTGACATGAGACCAGAAGTTCTTGAGAAAGTGATCCAAAATAGGACATAAAGAATGGGTTTCGTCAAGAACAGCCGCAGTTAGCATGCCTGGAATTATTTTTAAGTGTTAATGTCATTGATTTTTTAAATAAATTGATCTTTCAAATAAATAAAAAAATTTAATTACAATTTTATTTTTTCTGTTACTTTTTACAATTTGAAGTTCTCTCGAACTTAATAAACACCCTTTATATATATATATATATATATATATATATATATATATATATATATATATATATATATATATATATATATATATATATATATATATATATATATTATATATATATATATATATATATATATATATATATATATATATATATATATATATATATATATATATATATATATATATATATATATATAAGTTCACTCCATTAGAAATACAACTTTGGAAACAATGGACCCTTGTTCCGATTTTGCATCAAAGGTAGTGTATATTATTTGAGAAATAATTTCAATTAAAAACATGCTATTAGATTATAAAGATAAATCATAGTTATTTTAATAAATTATTTCATCATTGTTAAAACTATCTAATTTATTTGTTAATAACAATGATCCTGCTAATAAATATTTTTTCTAATAAATTGTTGTTTATTAATTATCTAAATTAAAGTTGGATCTTTTTGCAAAAAAAAAAAAAATCACTTTTTTTTAGATAGATTACTTAAGATCTCTCTTTGATATGAACATTAAAGCATCAGCAAAATAGTAATAAAAAACGTTTAATAAAAAATTGAATCAACGAAATCTAATGGACGACTTAAAATAAACACTTGGGGATGTTGACTCTTTATTGATTTATACCTTGTATTGTTATGAATATATGCTAACCCTAACACGAACTCATAATGTTCATAATATTATGAATTCAAGATAGCACAAGAAACTTTATTGTCGGATTTATAAGTCAAAAAGTCGTTGTTTTATTTTAAATCAACGTTTTGAAATTCTCCCGCTAGATAAGGACGATAAAAAAGCGCGTCACCCGCCCATAAACGATTGAAACCCAAAATTTACGGAGATTGACCTGAGTGCGATACACCCGATACACCTACGATAGGGCTATTTTTTGATACAGGTGGTGGGGGATGGTGGTGTACCGTATCGTAAAAGAATTCGTTAGGCTACGAATTGTATGCAATGAACAACAATGCTATATACTTTAAAAGACTTAAACTACGTAATTAAAAAACTAGTATTTAAAATGCTTTGCAATACTGCGGATGCAGTAATCAGGGCCGTCCCGAAGAGGTCTTCCATGAAGAACGGGGGGGGGGGAGTTGTATCTATTTTTTGCCAACTAGAGATACTAAAAAAAAAAAAAAAAAAATAGGTCCTCAATATTTGCAATTTGCTAACTATTGCTCAAAAATTTCTAAATGTGTTAACTCAAATGCTTATATGACAGCTTTGGGGGTTGGAATACCCCCCGTTCGGGAAGGCCCTAGCCAGTGCCGGATCATGGGGGCCATAGCCCCGGGTCCCGCAAATTTAGGGGCTTTCAATAATTTTAGAGAACTTTTTTTTTTTTTTTAGTCATTTTTAGGCTCTGGCCCATAAAAAGGCCTCCAAATATAAAAATTACTCCGGGCCCTTCATCCGCCACTTAATAAACAAGTCTTAATCCGCCACTGGCCCTGGCAGTAATGGTTTTGCTTTTAAATAGCTGTTAGCATAATTTGCTATGTTTAAAATAATTTATGTGTATGAGTTTCTATAAAGTTTGCTGCTAAAATGCCGCAAACAAATAATTGTGAATACTTTTTTTAAAATGTTAAAGTATAGTTTTGTAAAATAATCTTGAGTATTTTTATAAAGGTTTCATTTTTAATATATAAAAATATTTACTTGATCAAGTCAAGTTAAAGAAAAATGTAATTTTGATTAATTATCGCTATCCATATAAATTAAACATTATGCGCTAAGTAAACTGAAGCAATAAATTTTCAAAATGTTAACTGATTGATCATTGCTAACGATATGAATTAAATATTATGGCTATGTGCTAAGTAAAACAAAACAAAAATTTTGGAAGAAAAAAACGGTAAATTGATATACTTAATGTTTTGTTGGTCAAAAATACCTACATCAGGAGACCTCTCCTCTTACGACCCAATTAGTCAATAAGATCTTCCCACTTTCGACCCATAAAAACCTATATAACTCTATTACGTAGTTAAAACTAATATTTATCACACAGCTGTTTTTTTGTGCTAATTCGGCTAAAATTTTTGTAAACAAAATAATTTTCAATTTTAATTTTCCTAATGTTTAAGAGAAATATAATTAATTCTTTATTTATTTTTAAAGCATTTAATATATCGAATCTTATTTATTTTTATTTTTTAATTGAAAAAAATACCAATGTAAGTGTATGTGTAGTTTAAATGTCAACAAATGTATGTGTAGTTTAAATGTCAACAAATGACTTTAATACAAATAAGAAGCCAAATATAGATTTTTAAAACGTCATATAATTTCGTCAACAACTTATTTACCGATTTTATTACAAATCGAGATGTTTTTAAACAGCAATTTTTTTTTTAATTATTATTTTTTGAATATTTTTAATATGAAAAGGGTATTATTATATGAACATTTTAGACATTAAGCATAAAATAATTCGATAAAATATTACTAATCGCAGTTATTAAAACTATCTTTCGAACGTCATCTAACTGTATACATATTTTTGGATAGATAAAAATAGTTTTTACTAAATCAAAAGCTAGGTAATGTTAATAACAAAATTAAATAATTTGGTTCTTAATCAATTTTTATTTGATGTGTTAATTTATATTAAATTTATATAGGGTTAAAGAATTATGTACACAATTTTATACACAAATTTGAGGTATAAGTTTTTTTTTAGTGCATCTTTAAAAAAGATATGAGTTCATTATTTGCTGCAAGTGGTAAAAGTCGATTTGACAAGTTACTTGGTAACTTTAGTTTACATATGTTTTTATTTTATCAGAAATGTTTGTGTTTAAATAGAAATCAGAATCAGAACTTTTTGTGTTTAAGTGTACAATCCTCTGGTTGTTATTTTTTAATTTATTATTTAATATTTGTTCAACATGGTATAGAAAATAATACTTATAATATATGAAATACAAAACATTTATGCCATAAACCCTAAAACTAGAATAAAAAAGTTTAATTTAATTAGAAATTAACTGTAGTTAACTAAAAGAGCTTTTAAGTGGTTTAATATTATTAAACTTTATTTTAATAACTAGGTTTTCTACTGCACTTTTAATTTTCTTTAATATTTATTAAAGAAAATTAAATCATTACCACTAAATTGTTTTATCTATAAAATCTTTTGCAAATGCTTGTGATCTTCGAAGTAAATTTTTAAATACTTATTTAGTTCAGTTTTTGTAAAAGGCCTCTCAAAAAATGACTTTAAGGGTTAGCAGAAAACTTATGTTGATCATTTTTGTTTACTTTCTTTATTCAAAAGACTGCCACAGGTTTAAATATGTGTTATGCTGTTACACTTCGAAGTAATTTTATTTTTATTGAATCCCACTTCTTGCAAAGTTTATCTGACCTACTAGCTTTTTGAGAGGTTATTTAAAATTTGAATGTTTCTTCTTAAAATTATCTTAGGGATAGCTTATACTCTTTGATTTGCAAAAGTTTCAATAGTCTCTTGCTTGGTTTGGTCATATACCTGCATATTGATTCACCTATTTATTGTGGAATCGGGTTTGAATCCTCTGACCATTTATTTATGTTTGTCACCTCACATTGTCCATCCTTTTTTTAGGATGGTCTTTGGACTTATGTTTTTTGTTACTCTGATGAATATTGTATTTCTTTTATAATATCATGATTAGTTTCAAGCAGGCATGGAAACTTTTATTCTTGTTGATGTTAGGAATGTCCTAAAAAGCATTTTAAAGTTATCTGACTGGGTACCAGATAATTAAAAAATCTGGCTGGATATCAGGCTGAATATATATTTTTTAGATATTTGTATTGATTAGCTGATGTTTTCATTACAAAACCTACAACACGTAATTTTATGAGTCAAATACTGGCCATAGTAAATATTCTATAATGAAAAGTTTTGTTTGGAAGCTTTTTAAAATAAATGATCTCTCTGAATTGACAACAGTTTGTTGATTTAGAGTGAATGTAGCAATAGTTAAAACAAATTATGAATGTTCAAGATTACATGAAGATAAATCTCTACTTGAGTTAAATAAAAAGGATATGCTGGCAGGATTGGTCTGGAAGTTGTACGATTTCATGCTATAATATGACCATGCAAATACTATTTGATTTTGATAGCTGTTAAGTTGTTTTGAAATATAAATATATACATTTTAAAAATGTGCTGAAAGTTTACTCAACTATAAAGAATTGAAAAAAATTATCCTAAAGAAAGTAAATAAATCTTCGTAAAATAAAATAAAAATAATTTAACCAAAACTAAAGTCAAGAAATAAAATTAAAACTTATATAAAATAAATAATAAACTATAACGATAAGATTATTTAAGTTAAGGATGGAATAAATAACTTTGAGTTATTTATCTTTACTAATGTTTTTATGATCTAATATTATGGGAAACCCTTTTAAATAAAGTAACAACTTACAACTTATCTAATGATTGTATAATAAATACGCATATTTAAAAGTTAAAAAAAAGATTCTTAACAATTCTTTGCAATAACGTAGCCAAAAGAAAAAATAATTAAATCTTTTCTTTAAAAAGTCGATTCCTCTCAACAAATTTTTTTTTCTTTTTGAGTGTATTATTTTTAATAATTCTTATATAAAAGAGTTTTTAAATTTGTTTAAAGTTGTCACTTATAAATTAAATAAATTTTATTAATATAATTTATGATAAATGCAAACAGGGCAACCAACGAAGCCCCGCTATGATAAATGTCAATTGGTTTTGTTTTTAATTAAAAATTTTGGAAAAAAGTCCAGTTGACTTTTAAAAATATAAACTGACGGAGCAGATAAGATGGAGTTTTGAAGGGTGTTTCAGTCAGGTACAATGCGATTACAGAAGAAGAATTCTCTTTGTAAACAGTTTACTACTGCTTGGCGTTGAAGATGATGATGTTAATCACGAAGACTGTTGGCTGGTCCTTGCACATTTAGTGCTGGACTAGTGAGTTAGATTTACAAAGCTCAACTTCATTAATGCTATGGTATAGTTTTAAAAACTGTATTTGGTTACCCCTACGTCTTCCAGGGATGCACAGTCCCAAAAAAAGACTCGGGATTTGAAAGTCACAAAAATTATACTTCTTTCTAGTTTTTGGTATCCAGGAGCTTTAAAAATATAAAAAAACTTATGGGCTACTATTAGGAAAAAAATCAAGACTTATAAGTCAAAAGAACAATCAGTTTTTGATCTCGAAGTCCTTAGGTATAATGGCGCAAAGACTCCGGGTTTAAAAACAATAAGTTCTAATTCTTTAAATATCATAAATTTTTTTCTTATAGCAGATCATTAATCAACCTATTTAGAGCTTCTGGAAACCAGAGACCATGAAAAAATAAAGTTATAAAGCCAGAGTCTTTTTGGGACTCCGTATCCTTGACACCTTCTATCCTTAAGCGATTGAATGTTTATTGCAACTAGTCTATGGTGATAACTTAAAGACTTGAGATAAGGTACAAGCTTAGTGGCTCTTTCTTGCACTGATTTGAGAGCATCTATGTCTCCACAATAATAAGGGTTCCAGACGGAAAAGCATAACTTGAGATGTGATTGAACATAAGTTGTATAAAGTACACAAATGTTGTTAATGTCCCAATAGTGGAATATTCTTTTTAACATGCCTAGTACCTTGTTGGCTTTGGCTACAGTGTGTGCGACGGTCTTGCCACTTAAGTCTGTCATTGACAATCATAACAAGGTCATGCTTGGAAAAATAAAAATATAAATTTATACAACTTTCATTAATACTTTAATTAAAATCATTAGTGACTTTATTTAAAAAGATTTTGCTAATATAAAACTTTCATTGATATTTTAATTAAAATCATTAGTAACTTTATTTAAAAAGATTTTGCTAATATATATATCTTCCACCTGGAACTCTTATTATTGTGGAGAAAACTTTAGTAAAGATAAATGTGTTGAAGTTATTTATTTTTAAGATGATTAAAAACTATTTCTCCAGTAACTCTCTTTAAACTATTCAATAAATGCTTGACTGAGTCTTGTTTTCCTGCCTGCTAGAAAATAGCATCTGTTGTTCCAATTTTCAAAAACTCAGTTAAATGATCTGATCCCTCCAATTTTTTTCTGATCAGTCTTCTTTCTGTTATTAGCAAGGACTTTGAGTCTTTGATCAACAAATTTTTCACATCCCATCTTGAGTCAAATAACTTACTGTCAGACAATCAATACTGTTTTTGGTCCTCTCGCTTTACTGCTGACTTGCTAACTGCTGTGACTTCTTCATTTCCAGTAACTACTGACTTATCTCAAAGTTCTATCCTTGGGCCTGTTTTGTTTCTTAGAAACATTAATCATCTTCCTGACAACCTTACATCTAAAATGGCTCTATTTGTTTATGACTCAACTTTATATTTCTGTCTAGACAAAAATTCTTCTCTTTTTAACTGATTAGAACAGGCAGCCGATTTTGAATCTAATCTCACTTCTGTAACAGATGGGCTCAAAGTGGTTTAAAAATTTTAACTCCAACAAAACTCAGTTATTTACTGCAAACAACTATTGCAATACTGTCGACATTCCTATATTAATAAATGGAAATCATTCATTAATATAAAACCAAAAAAGTAAAGGATAATCCGAGAAGATGTAAAGATTACTTCCTGATCTTTACATCTTCTTGGGTTATTGTTTACTACTGACCTTTCATGGATACCATGTATACAATCGATTGCTAAATTAGCATCTGCTAAGGTTGCTCCTCTTTATCATGCTTGCCATTTTCTCTCTCTCCTGATTCGATTGTCTACCTCTACAAATCTTTTTTTTTTTTCCTGTATAGAATACTGTTGTCATATTTGGACTGGTACTTCTAATGATGCTCTTTCTCTTCTAGACAAGGTCCAAAAATGCATTGTAAACGTAGTTGAACCCCCACTATCTGTTAAGCTTGAGCTTCTATCATTGTAATGTTGCTCTTTATCTTTTCTGCAAATATTATCATGGATGCTGCTCAAAGGAGCTATCATCTCTAGTTCTAGAAACTAGAGATGATAGCTCTAAACTCATTTCTCATTTGACTCGTTATTTATCAAAGTCTCATTTGTTTACTGTATCTGTCCCTGCATTCTCTAAAGTCTGTTATTTGTCTAGTTTTTTTCCACGCACTTCAACCCTTTGGAACTCTTTCCCATCTTCATGTTTTCCTGATTCATACAACATTCAACTTTTAAAATCTTCTGTCCTAGGTTTCCTTGCTTACTAACTCTATTCTTTTTTTCGAATAACTCCCAAATAGTGGTTGCTTTCAACCTTGTTGGGAGTGAATCAGAATTAAAAAAAAAACTTAGTAACACAATAAGCAATACTTAACAAACATACTTGAAGCAAATATCATAATAATATAATTTAATTCTGATAAAAAGTATATAATTTAATTTAAAAATAATTTAATAAAAATATAATTTTATTCAAATAAAAATATATATATATATAATTTAGTTTAATTTGATTTAAAAAGTATATAACTCAATTCTGATTAAAAAAATAAATAAGTTTATTAAAGTTAAAATTAATGCTTTTGTAAAAAAGTTTGTAATAAAGTTAAAAACTCTGAAAACTTAATCTCTATTAGCCTAATTGAAGTACTTAAACCACATTTTGACGAAATCAAGCTAATTGGTAATATTTGCTAATACGGTTAAGCCCTGTGTACTGGATAAACTGCAACATTTAAATATGTTCCTATGCCACCCTTTTAAACAAGCCAAATAAAAATAATAAAACATATGTGACAAGTGTGAAAAATTTCAGCCACACATTAAAGCAGCTGAATCTATTAATGATGTGATTCTTGTAAATAAACTTAAATTTCAATATGAGCTTCACATAAAGAAAGCAGATGTGTTTAATGTGCAAATCAACAAAGCCACAGAAGATGCAAAACTAAGCAAAGACACTGCAGTGATCTATTTAGACTTTAAAAAAAATTTACAGCTTCCTTTAACTGGCATTGGACAAGAGTTTTATATGCGTCAACCTTGGATTCATAATATGTGCATTCATGGCAATGTAAATGAATCTGTTCACATGTATCTATATGCTGAACATTTTGCAGTTAGGTGCCCAAATAAAGTCGATTTATGTCTGGACCATTACATTTCTGGTCTTCTGACTACAACTATAAAAATTATAATTTTCATGGATAACTTTTTTTCACAGAATAAAAACCGTTACATCTTTGCCTACCTACAAAGATTGGTAAATGAGGATGTATGTATAACACAAGCTTATGTAAATTATCTCCTTCCAGGACATAGCCAAATGTCCAAAATTCCAGGACATAGCCAAATGTCCAAAATTCATGGCATAGATATAGATAGAGACACCAGTGACATTGAAAACATAGAATAGACTTATTTCTTTATAGTAATAATATATGTTGAAAAATTTAATTAGTTCAGTGTTTCTTTTTGGTGCAAAAAGTACTTAAGTCTAGAAATAGACTTAAGTACTTTTTTTGAATCCTAAAAATAAATTACACGTATCTTCTAAAAGATTTAAGATTTTAAAATAAGCAGGTTTGTTCATTATAGTAATTTAAAGGTATAGCAGTTATTAAAAATGTATTGGCATATCTTGCCTGATTTCAAGGTTAGTTTGAATATTCGAACTCCTTTATTTCAGAATGAATATTTTGTGACTTAAATACTTTTAGCACTAAGGTCTTGAATTGTTGTAACGAAATATTTAGTAACAGAAAACAAAATTGTTTATAAGTAATGACTTTTTTTTTTTTTTTGTATATTTTTATTGCAAGTATTTTTTTCAGTTTTCCTTCCTAAACATTTTTTTTTACTCAAATATAAATTCCTTGTTTTCCGATAAAACATTTTCCGATATCAAAAATTTGCCCAAAATATGTTAAACTTTTTTTTGTAATACAAGTTATAGTGCAGCAATTATTTTTTAATAAATGATATATACAGCAATATAATTTTAATAAATGGTGTTTGGAAAAATAACCTTTGCTTTTACTACAAAATCGCTTATAAAAAAATGTAACATTAAATTTAATTATTTAGTATAAAAAATCGAAAGAAAATAAACATTCCTATATAGTAATTATAAAAAACATGTTAAATAATATTTAACTCATTTTGCAGTAGTTAATACTATTGCAGTAATTTAAAAAGGTCTTTAAAGAACGTGAAAATGTCTTTAAAAAATATGAAAATTAAGAGAATTTTATGACGTCAAATTCGTGTTAGGCTAATGTGTTAAGCATTTTTTATTTAAAAAAAGGCCATACCCCCAAATCAAATTATTGTTTTTGTTGCTTCTGCAGAAAAACAAATTTGCCATACAAGACAAAATCCGGAGTTACCATTATCTAGAATTCAATCAAATTCTTAATTTACTTATAAAATTATATAATACCTAAACCAATGACAATGCACACTGTATTTTCTAGTTATTTTTAACAAACATGATCAGGGTGCTAAAAGTCTAGGCTACTAAAAGTCAATCAAATCTTAACATTGATCACACGTGATGTTGAATATATTTATTTTATAATATAAGAAACTGTCAAGTTTGTACAAGAATTGTTTTCTAATGCCACATAAATCCACTATTTTTGTGCTGCACTGGTAAGTAAAAAAATGTAAGCATTCTTTAAATTTATGCCATTATGCTGATGAATTTGGGATGCAATGCATATGGAATTTGCATTGCATGGTTACTAGGTCTTGGTAGAGTTGAAGCCTGGTAACCATGGTAAACTTTTGTTAATTTTTTTTTTGCTATTATTAAAAAAGGTATTTTAAAGAGTGTTTTGGATCAAAATGGAAAGGTGGCTTTTTTGAGGATTTTCATAAATAATCAAACAAGTTATAATAAAAGAATACATTTGGATGTTAGAAATTACTTATTTTTAGCATTTCCATTACATAAAAATCCATTACTGATAGTTAAAATGAAAAATTCATACACAATGTTTGATAATAATAAACTTGTCTATCAGAAACCAGAGACCACTTGCATCGGATTAATTTATAAATGAGTTGGTTTTGTGCAAATCATTGTTTTATTTGGTATATGCTTCTTGTTCTTGAAGATAATGGTTAATTAGAATATGGGGTTTCCGAACCCAAACACAATTATCTCTACTTAGCCAGTATAACAAAGTGTAAATGAAGATGCATGAATTTGAAAAGGGTGTCTGCATTATCTTTATCAACTTCTGATACTAAACAAACCGAGTAAAGCGTATCATATTTTCAGATAAAATTGTTTACTGCAATGACTTCTTGAGGATATTGCATTGAGCCAGTATGGTAGAATGTAAAATAAAATTCCTCCTAATCAGAGGCTCTTGGCATTTATATTTTTCGCATCCTGTGGAATAAATTGGTGGAAACTTTATGTACCAGGTCTTTGCATTATTTAAAGAATAGCATTTGAAACAATTCTTTCAACTGTCTTACGAATGCCATCACATAGTGACTTTTTAATGTAGCATTACTACAGTCTTATAGAATTAATAGATTCTAGGTGAAGTACAATCCCTATATTAATTAAGTTTTAATTTTTTTTATAAAAAATATCATATTCTGATTCCCTAAAAACTATACTGGTGCTAATTTTCAGCTTAATCACATGTATAGTTAAACAGTAACTCATAAAAAAAAAACTATAGTAAAACCAAAATATCTAAAAAAAAAAAAAAAAAGCAACTTCTAAAAACAGCAGTTTTAAAGATATGATATCACCTAAACCCATTTGATATTTATAAAAAACTTTCTATGTAGTATGGATGAGCATTTTTACAAAGTATAATGAAAATTTTTTTCAGGGTTCTCACTCCTTCTTAAAAACAATAAATATCCTTAAAAAATAAAAACCTCTTTCAATAACTTTTATAAAAATTAAAATTTGACTGCTCTCCTTAATTTCTCCTTATTATTATTATTTTTAATTATCTAGGAAATTTTATTAAAGAAAATTGATTATACTTATTAATAAAGAAGAAAATATATAGTTCTTTGATAGTTTGCAAACCTTTATTTTTATTTTATATATATATATATATATATATATATATATATATATATATATATATATATATATATATATATATATATATATATATATATATATATATTTTCTTGAAGTACTTTTTAGGGCATTAACAATAATATCATATGGGCCTCATTTACCCACTTATTTTAAATGATGGCATGCTGATGACAAAATGCCATCATTTAGTCAAAAAGTTAAGGTATTTATATGTCATATGCATTTTATTACTTTAGAGTCTGCAACCAGCCAGATGTTATTGGAACCTAACTGGGCAACAAATCTTGAAATATGTGACTCTATTCGTCAAAAAGATGTAACGTAGGTGTTTCAAATTTTTAACTGTCTATAGTTCTTAAGATTAAATTAAAAATTATATTTTGTAAAATTTGGATAAAAGTCTATTAAAAATAAAAATTTAGTCTTGTTTTTGTTTAAGTAATAGAAGTCAAAGACCGGTTCCATATGAAATTATCCAGAACATGACATCTTTACATTTCATAATTTTTTTATTTTTATATCATTTATGCAACCCATTTTAAATAAATAATAACTGCAAAAATATTGTGTTAAAATATACACAGGTTGCTGAGAAATCAGTTGAAATAATGATGATTATTTTTGAGTAATCTGACAACAAAGCAACTTTGGCATATCAAGTCTTGATAATGGTTCAGAGAATTTTCTTAAAGTTTGGTATTTAAATAGATTTTTGCTTAAAAATTTTTTTGTTTAAAAATACCACTCTAAGGACATGATAGTCTCAAGAAATGTCTTGTTAATCCAATTCGAAACTGTTATCTAAAATCTCTAATCAGATCTGAATGTCAATTTCCAACTATCTCATAAAATTTTTCAATTTGAAACTAACGCCTAAAATCTTTCGATTATGAAACTGCCACCTAAATTCTTATAGCAAAGTAATGATATACAATATTAAATTAATGACAATGCAAAGTTATACCTTAATATACAATCAAATTGTTTTACTTTACTTTATTTTTACTGAAAAAAATTAGATTTGTGTCTGTTATATTTGATCAAAGAAAGCAAATAATATTTGATAAAAAAACTCTTTTCAGAATTTTGAAGAACTTAAATTTTTTAATAATTAGTTGAAGATTTAGTCATACAAAGGAAGCAAGAGGATAGAGCAATTTTCCTCCATCACTCCTGTATTTGGAAGTAAAATAAAAAAAAACAAATACTGAATTACAATAAATATATAAATAAAATTACATAAACATTATTTTAGGCGTTAATTTATTTTATTGAAACCAACTGCTTATATTCTTTATATCTAAATCTAATATATTGTATGTACAATCTGATATTGTTGTGGCTCTAGAAACATATAATTTTGGAATAAGGCACCTACCACTCATTATTTCTAAATAATCAAAAATAAATTTTTGAATGGTCCATGTCCATCTGACTTTTATATCAAGTTCACATCTTCAGTAATCCCACTAAAATTTATCATGCAATATAATTTTTTTTTAATGTTACATTCAATATAATTCATTTTTTAATGTTTTATAAAGTCTTTTGTTATATTTATTTTTCAGAATAATATTTAATACTTCATTACATATATCCACACTTGCTTTTTTGATAACTTACTATATTTAAACTAATGATACACCCTTGTGTCAGGAACTGTGCTATCACTTAAATATCCTTTTTCTAAAAATGCTCAAGTTTGGTCAAGTTCTATATTTGAAAATAACTTAAAACAAATCCCAGTTGTTTTGGCTTTACAAAAAGACCATTAAACAGGTTGAATAGAAACCGTTTTTAAAATTTTTCCAGTACCACTGACTAAGAATAAGAATTTGTGATAGTGCTAACTGTTTTAGATGTTTATCTTAAATTAATCTCTGATAAAATATTTTAAAAATGTGTGTGTACCTAAACTGCACTGGTAAGGTTCAACACTAACTAGGATGCACAATAGGCACATAATAAGACAAAAACTTCATTGACTATTAAATAAATTATTATTAAAGAAGTTCTGACCATCAAAATTACAGATTTTCTGTATAGTATGACTATATAAAACACGAGTAAATGACACATAATGAACACAAATTAACAATTGAAAATCATCAAACAAATTAATTTGTAAAAGTAAAAAAAAGCTCTATATTTGGAATGAAACTAAAATAAAAGTGCAGTATATTTTATTTAACACTAAAAAGTTTGTACAAGTAGAGCTAGATAGTAGGTACAAAATTGTATTTGTAAAAAAATTACAAATAAGTATTTCCTATAGTCTTTATTGAATTTCAAATTTCTACGTTCAAGAATTGATTGATTCATACATCCTATTATCTTAGAATAGTTGAACAGTGCTATGACCTCAGCTAGAAGAAAAACAATGTGAGACCCATCTCTGTATTTTGCAGGATGAAGAAATGTTCCAAGGCCATCTTTTGAGTATATGATTAACTCAGTTAAGATGCAATTTCAATGGCTTTTTTACAATTCAGTTAAATTTCAATTTCATGGGCTTTTCTTTCATTTGAACTATTTTCTGTGTTTTGAATATCTGCTTTACCACCATTTCTATTACTATTAATTTTGATTGCCATCTCATCAGTCTTAGTGATACACTTCAATTTTTTTTTTTCTTCATGTTTAAATTTTGAATTTTTTGGAATTAATAGCATGCCCTCATGTTGATGTCAGAATAAAATAATGGCCTTACTCTAAAAAGGTTGGACATCCTTGAATTAAATAACACAATATTTAGGTTTTACTTTGGAAAAAAAAAATTTTAAAAACATTTCAATCTCCTTTGTTACAAAAGTTTTTCAAAATTCTGAAAACATGTTTTTTTTTTTAGTGCTTTTTTTGATCAATTATTCTACAGCTTTTTTTTTTTTGAAAAAAATTTAAAATTGACTGCTATCATTATTTTTTTAATTACGTTTTTCTTGAAACATGCAAAAAGCAACTTTCGATAAAGTAATAAAAGGAACTTTTGATTATTAAATAAAGTCATTAAATAAAGTTGTAATTTTACAAAGATAATGAATCTCATTTCTTTTAGTAGACCTAAATTATAGTAATGGTATACAACTAAAATTTTCCCCAGGAATCTCAGATAACAGTCTCCATTTCAGCTCCAAAAATCAATAATTTACAAGTCAATAATTTAAAATAAAAATGGAAAAATGAGACATTTCTAAAGGCTATCAAGTCCTTAAAATAGTATTCTGAATTTTTTTAGCAAAAATCTATTTAGATTCCAAATTTTAGGAAATTCCTACAAATCTTTATCAAGATATTTTATGTCGAAGTTGCTTTACTGTCTTTACAGATTACTTTAACTGATTACTTTAACTTTAGCATTATTTTAACTGATGATATCTTAATAATTCATCTATATTTTTAACTAATATTTTTGTAGTTATCATATTATATTTTTTACACAAATCACTTTATCTAGTTCCACCATTATAAATATTTGTTTCAAGCTGTTGCTTTTAATCTACTATTTTGTATAAATCTCTGTAAAAAGATTTTATTTAGTTATATACAATAAAACATTGATATAAAAATATAAAAGCTAAAATTAAAGCTTTGAAATTAAAGTTAAATTGCAGTACTGGTTTTCAAATAAGATTCTTTGAAATAAAATTTTTCTTAGTTTTGAAATATTACTATTTTATCAATGTTTCATATCCATTAAAACAAAAAAACTCTGATAAAATGGCCGTACAAGGTGAGAACAAAACAAAAATATATTTATCATTTACCACCAATTAACATATCAAAAAAAAAAA